TCTGGAGTTTATGAGTGTTTCCTTTTTCAAAACATCTCCTAGATAAACGAATTTTGATGAAGAGTTGTTCGACATATCTCGAAGTTGGCGACAAAGAGATGTGCTGACTGGGCTTGTCGAGTGCGTTTGACTGGTATTGCTAGTGATAAAATGATTGCTATGAGATTTCTGTAGAACATATTCCGTATCTATAGAAAAGTGCAAGATAAATTAGCTTTTCACTATGAAAGCCCGAGTTTTTGTGGAGCAACTTTATAGAAATGTTGGTACCAGACAGTGACCACGGTTATATTACCGTATGGATAGTTGGTATGCTTACTAAGGAGATCTAACTATCCAGGTGTACAAATCAAACTTAGAACAATGAATGTTCTGCGTGGTATTAGCCAAGGAAGTAGATGTTCTACTCCCGATGTCTATCATTTCAATTTGTTCAATTCACATTTGATTGAAATGACTCAGAGTTTCTGAATTGTTGTATATATAATATTGTTCAGCCAGACAAAACAACTTTGTTATTTTTTTACATGATACCTATGTGCTTATCGTTTATTTAGTCTGGCAATATATTGGTATATTCCGAGGTATATTCAATCTCAGAATGTCTTTGTTTGCTAGTCAAAACCTGGAAACATGCATCAATTACTACGAACAATAAAATTGTTATTTATTGTTACTTGAAGCGGGCGGTACACCAAGTTTTACAACAAAATGAGGTTAACTATCTTTCGAATGATAATTAAGGGGTTTCACTTGAAATTATGCGGTTTGTTCAATTTGTATACGTACAATGTAAGTCGCAACAATTACATACAATAAAATACACGACATCATTTTTCAATTTACATCGTTACTTATAACGGATACTCACGTGTTTGGAAATTCAGTAAATCTTCATATAATAAATGTACCTATATAATTTGTGGATAATTGAGAAATAGGGACGTACTCAGAAATGATCGCTAGGGTCTCAATCGAGGTCCCACAAATCAGAAAAATGTATTCTGCAATTTCTCCAACAGAAAATCGATTGCAATGTATCGATATACTATCTCACCAAAACGTAATTGAATATAGCTAATGAACTTGATTTTACATTTCTTTGAACCTTGAGATATCACTTAGTAGGTTTCATAATGAGGTTTGTTTTACGTGCATTCATCATCGCTTTATAGACGACGTCGTCTTTCCACTTCTTCATCAAGATCTTCCAAATTCAATGTTTTATGTAATGTTGAAGGAGAATGCCTGTTGTGTACTTATGATATAAAAATCAACCTACTCTGGACACGTTTGGTACTAATATAGGTATTTATTGACTAAAGAAACACATTTATACATCCTTCGCTCTAGAACTTTTTTTGACATCCTAATTGAAAAGACTGAGGGCAATGAACATTTTCTTGCCGATTATGCGGTTATATCAATATTTCGTTTGGCAATACTCGATATCGATTTGTAGCAGACATCCTGAGAATGAATGATTTGTCAATAGTTTGGCAATAATACATGTGACTTGAACTTTCACATTCAATGGAATTTCAGATAATCATTATAATACAGGATGTAGGAACAATCAAAAGCCTGCGGAGACGAGTGCGGAGAGCTTTTTTTAGTGAAATTTATCGAATTATGTCGTCAATCATTATTTATGTCAGGATCATTATAAACATGGTTTGAGTTAAAAGTTCTACTAAGGTGTACACGCCTATTACTTATAATGCTTATTTCATACACCTGTGTATGGGCTTTCGAGTCTGCTGGATGTATTGTACCAATGAATAAATAATTGTGAGATTGTTTGTCAATTATAGGCTAACTGCAAGATTTATCTTGCCTAAATGGCAGAATAGTCTAGCGATTAGTGTAACGCAACAATATAAAGAAATTGGTATATTTCTCAGTGTATCCAGCTTTATTGATAGTTTAATCTTGCAATTGGATCAATTGCAAAATTAATCTGACAATTAAACCAAGATAAATCTACCATTGATAGAATAATCTTGCAGTTGAAATTTCGAACGAAAAAAAAATAGTTTTTCGCCTCATTACACTAATTCGAAGATGAATCTGTTAACGAATGCTTAATTGTAAGATTAAGTTGTCAATTAATGCTTCATTGCAAGATAAATTTTGCATTTTTTTAAAGTTTTAGTTATATTATAGGGAGATGAAAACTGTGTATATCATGAAGAATGGCTGAAAGAATAACTGGACTTCATGTTACTGATGAGGATTTGATATCCGAAATGAGTTTTTCTACGGCTATAATAGATAACAGCGGCATTTTCGATTTCTTCGACTTGTAGCCATCTGAGTTCCTGTCCAGTAATTCTCATCTTTCAGACAGAGCTGTCATTGCTTCACATTTGACATTCCATGAGCGATGAGATTTTTTTGTAATAACACAATGGAGTCATTGTGATATCAGATACGAAAATAATGATAATGACATAAAACAAGAGCAATTTTGTGTTATAGCCGTAGAAAAAAAATAATATGAAATGTGCGAACATAATAATGGAATATCTTATTTTTGAAAGACATACATAGACTGTGAAAGTATAGTGATCGAATATTATTAAGATCTTGTGAATATATAAGATTAGTGTGAAATGATCTTTTCTGCTTCAAAATTATTTTCAGAATATAGTTCTGTATTTCGTTTAGTTTTTGCAAAGAACTTTTATACATTGCTCCCCACACCAGAATACCATAGCGGAAAAGTGATTCAGCTAGAGATTTGTAAATTAATATGACTAGATTTCTCGATAAAAACCTGCGTAGCTGGTAGAATTTATATATTAGCTTCCTCACTTTTTTTGTTAGATAATCAATATGATTGTTCCATCTTAAATTTTTGTCAATATTTATGCCCAAATATCTGACCTCGTTTATTTCTTTAATTTCCTCTTTCATACCTGGAACTTTAACACTGGAAAAATCGGGTGTATTTGTTGTAGTTGAGAGAAGGCAAGATAGTGGGTTTTACTAGCATTTAATGATAGACGATACATGCTTAACCATCTATGAATTGATTCCATGCTGACCTGGATAGAATTTTTTGTTTCAGACCATGTATTTCCATCGGAAATAACAACCGTATCATCAGCATATGATATAATTCTTGCTTTTGTTTTCAAACAGAGCAGAGAGTTTATGTATGCTTGAAAAAGTATTGGACCAAGAACGGTTCCTTGGGGGACCCCCATTCTTATTGTCATCGTTTCACTCAATGTATCTTATTATACGACGCTATACATAGTGGAGTATACTACGGCCTTGCCAAAAATGCTATCTCGGAAACTAAGCGAGATAAAGGTATAGTTACTTTGGAGAAAATGATCCCCATCGAATTTTGAGCAACTTTGGTTTTTGTGTGTGGTCTGTCTGTCTGTACTCTGTGGTAATCATAAATCGATATATCTCCGGAATCCTTCGACATATCGACTTGAAATTTTGCCATCTTATTGTACTCAAAACAATATTATGTCATTAAAATATGAAGGAAATCGGAAAACTCTCAGAAGGTTTTTCCGAGTTTTTTCGATTTTTCACCGGGAGTTTCTTGTGACCACTCTACAAATCGCAAAAGTGGTCCGATCGATTTCATTTTTTGTGAAAAAAAAAACTCTATCAGGAAGAGACGAAGCCTATCGAAATTGAGCAGGGTCGGGGAATTCCAAGTGGGTTTTTCAAGGAGATTTTCCGAAATACATGAACCAATAGACTAAATCCAAATTTGAAGAATGCACCGTATGCCTCTTTGATGACGCAACAAATCTTTATTCTACAATTTCTTCGTGCATCCATCGGAAAATGGAAAAACAAATGAAAATCAAAACATCAAAATTTGAAATCGTTTCAATTCAATATATATCGAAAACAAATGGAAAAATCGAAAATTACCAGAAGTGCAAAGTTATTTACTGGAACATTACCTACAAATTATTACCCAAAATTTTTTTGTGAACCCAATAGTACAGAAAATAATGAAAAAATATGAAAAAAAAATTTGAACGACCCATAGGGTACCATGAAGATATATTGAAAAACAAAAAATTATCGATAGATGAAGATCATCGACTTCCACGGAATCATGAAATATTTTTTCCTTTTGTTGATTGGAAGATGGAACAAAAGTGTTGAAAATTTTATTCTCAGATAATTCCAAATATCTCGAAAACAACTGAAAACATCTGAAAATGTTATAGCACCAAAATTATTCCTTTTGATAGAATCTACAAAAAAATCCGTACAACATTTTTCTCTCAATTCAATATTTCGGGAGATACGATGAAAAAACTAAAAAAATTACAAGTTCCTAGATAATCACTTGCCAATAGAAAACAAAACAAAAACAAAAGAAAGTAAAAAAGCACACTCGACTGTCCTAATTTTTCGCCAATAAACTACGTACATAGCTCACTCGACTGTCTTGATTTTTCTTCAATAAACTACGTACCTAGCTCACTCGACTGTCTTGATTGTTTCCCACATACTACGTACCTAGCTCACGCGAAGTTCTGGAATTCCCTAATATAAAGCAAAATATGAAATACTTTGAAAGCGTCTCTAGTTTCGATTGTCCTTAAATTTCATGCTGCTGAATAGTTTTTTGGTAAGTAAAACTCCTCAGCTAATTGAATAAATATATTTATGTAAGCATCTTCACTATTTTCCTCTTCGTAGATCCGTGGTGGTTGGATTCGTAGCGTCGTATACACATCTTTGGTGCCCAATGATAGTTTCAATATAAAAATATGCTCATGATATGGTGCCATGGCCTCTACCTCCATCTTACATTATCAATGATAAAATATCATCTGCTTTTATAGCGTCGTATAAATTATCTGACCTCTATACTAATCTAATACCTAATGAAAACTACATCTATACTAATCTGATACCTTTAAAAAACTACGTGCCTCACTTGTTATATTTCAGTATTATTACCCTCATTGCAAAAAAACCTTCATTATGCATCTCGTTTGTTGCAGATTGAGCGGTAGCACCGGCACTGTCAAACTGAACGCAGTGACGCGCGACTCGAACCCCCGCTACCGCAAGCTGTCGGCCTACATCCCGCAGGAAGAAGAGCTGCGGCCGGCGCTCACGGCCAAGGAGGCCATGACGTTCGCGGCGCATCTCAAGCTGGGCTACGCCGTCTCTGCAGACTACAAAGCGGAACAGGTCAGTACACTGAGGAAAATTGTGCTATTAGAATTTTTGCTGAGATATCATGAACAATGAATTGAATAGGTTAGGTTAGGTTCCATGTGAGTGGGGCGAATACCTCCCTTCCACTGCGACCCCAGATGGGTCTATTGTGGATTGTGGCTCACCCCTAGAGGTTACAGTTCACCGTACAATCCACATCTTTTTACAAAGTTCATGGTTGAATTGGGTGAGATTTGTCTGAAATCGATAGGTTCTAAATTGGTAAAGCCAAATGTGTCGAACCTTAGTCTTTCTAAGCTAGAGCATGAACATAATATGTGTCCAGCCGTTTCGTCTTCCACCCAACAGAGCCGACAGTCCGTTTGTTGGTTCAGACCCATCCTTCCCAGGTGGTATCTTAGACGACAGTGTCCCGTGAGCAGTCCAGTCAGAATTCGCAGGTTACCCCTGCTCCGTTCTAGGATCTGCCTGGTTATTTTTTCCGATGGTTTAGGCAGGAACACCTTCGAATGGGTTAATCTTGGTAATTCAGACCAGTACGTGAGTGTTTTTCCCTCCGCCCAGCCCGTGATAGTTGTTTTCGCCGCACTTGCGGTGACCCCAAAATATGGTTCTGGTCCTATGAACACAGATTCGGTTCCCTGTTTGGCGAGGATGTCGGCTTTCTCGTTACCCTCCACCCCCTGGTGTCCAGGCACCCACAGCAAAGTGACTCTGTTGTTAGCACCCAGGCATTCTAGGGATTCAATACAGCTCCATACAAGCTTGGAATTTATCTTGCTGGAGCTCAGTGCTTTAAGAGCAGCCTGACTGACTGATACAATACTGATATTTTTGTTTACTAGTGGTTTATTCGACAACTCTCTAGCACACAATTCAATTGCGAATACCTCCGCCTGAAAGATTGTAGCATATTTGCCGAGATTGACGGAAATTTCCGTCTTCGGTTTTCTGCTGAACACACCGGCTCCAACTCCAAGAGGGGTTTTCGAACCATCTGTGTACATAACGTGTTTGGTCTCTGAGAATTTGACTGATCCACTTGCCCATTCGTCTCTCTTCGGGAAGAGGACTTTGAAAGACTTTTTCACGTGTGTCTGAGTGGCCAACATGTCGGGAACCATTCCTAGAGTTTGGTGATTTTTTGTTTCACACAGTATCCCGGAGTGGTCCAGCAGTCGCCCCCCTCCAATTTGATTTTCTAATGACAGGAATCTGTAGGAAACCATCCTGGCTTCCCTCTCCAAGACAATGTGGAGGGGAGTGAGGTTCAGGAGGTTTTCTATCGCTGCCGTTGGAGTAGAGGACATCGCCCCTGTAATGGCCATTGGTTTTACCATTGTTTGGTAAATCCAGTAAATCTGTTTACGCATACGCTTCTGAGGTTCCAGAGGAAAAGTCTGGCTTTGTTAATAGTTTTTGAATTGAATAGAATCAAGACATCTTCCTATGAACACAACTTGAAACTCAATTCTGTAAAATCCATGGTACTCTATTTCGGTAGAAAAAATAACATAAACTTTTCGAAGAATAGTTTCAATCTACAAATTGATAATACCCCATTACAAGTCTGTGATCCAGCAAGAAATCTTGGCTTAGTACTAGACACTGACATGCGTTTTGCTCAGCACATAAAAAATATTATTGGTAAAGCTTTCGCATCCTTGAAACTGATTTTCAGTCATCGACATGTTCTCAGTGTTATAATGAAAAGAACTTTGTGCGAGTCACTCCTGTTGACTCACTTTAACTATTGCGACTTTCTTTATGGTCCTTGCTTGACGAAAATTGATAAAGATAGAATACAAAAAGTCCAGAATAGCTGCTGTAGACTAATCTATAGTATCATATTTCACATAAACTTAGGGAATGCATCTGGCTCAATATGAAAAATAGAAGACAGCTCCACTTAGGTACCTTTAATCATAAACTATTGAGTGAATCCAATCCTCCAGCTCTGGCAAGCAAATTTATTCCCCGATTCAGAATACACTCTAGCAACATCAGACAAAGAACCATCCTGACCATGCCTCAACACAGAAATACATTTTTTCAAAGATGTTTTGTCTTCAATGCTATTCAAATGTATAATATTCTACCTGACGAATTTAAAGTTTATAATATAAATAAGTTCGAATATAAATTGAAGAATCATCTACTCGATACGCATTCTTGATATAATATTATTTAATTCTTTATGTCGTAGATTTTTTTCATCACTCGTAATTCTATTATTTTTATTGCTAGCAAGTACCCATTATATGTATTGCATTTCATTTTTTTTTCACATTTTTTCGTTGGTCTACCTTCCTTGATGTCTTAGTCAATTTGCTGAAGTTATTTTGCTTTTTTGGGCATATATAGCCCTCTGTCGGTGGAATAGCTTCCAGTCCAACAGTCTATGTAAGATTTTTTTTCCATGTATTTCACTTATGACAATAAAAGGCGTTTATTATTATTATTATTATATTTCTTGCTACCATTACAAGAAATCATATAACCGTTATACATTTTCCAAATAGAAGTGAATTTCCTGCCACTGGAAGGTTTACTGCTGTCGCTATCAGGCAGCCACTCTGGGACAGCATTATTTTTTTATAATTGTCTAGCTGAACTACTACTAGTGAGTTATATGCTTGTGGCTGCGTTGTTCATCGCATAGAACTGCACTCACTACCAATAATACAACTGTCAGTCTACCACGAAAATAATATGTGACGAACCTACTTGGGGCTATTTAGCGCCTACTTATCGTTATTCGATATTTTGCTGATTTGTCCCCCTCTATATGAGCATTTGTCAGACATCTTGCTTGATCAATCAGTCACAGTTGGGCTCTTGATGCAAACCCATGTACAGAACGACAATCTCGACGACACGACAGTTACGAATACTTCTCCTCTTGAATTCAATTCATATTATTTGAAATCTGAATCTGAATTCAAATATAAAATGGAGACATTTTCGAACAAATAAAATTGTGAGCAAAAATGTTCAGGTCATGAAATTATTCGAATGATTGTAATGGTAACATTTTGTTTTCCTGTACGCATCTGTAATAACTTGCCTAGTTTTCGAAATAAAATGGTTCCAGAAAGTTTCAGAAAGTTTCAGAAACATATTTTTTCTCCGATTGGCAGCAAATATTAATTTTTCTGACACATATCAATCAGCAAAGTATTACTTTTCCTGCCTAGGCAGCAAAGTGGTTACTTTGCTGATCGATATGTATCAGCAAAATTAATAATCCATAAATCGTTTATAATTTCGTTTATATTTCATTCGAGACTTCTTTGGCAACAAATTCAACTCTATATTTTTTGCCACCTCCCTTATTTCTGGAGGTGTAAGTACTTCCAGGTCGCTATCACTGTCCATTTTATAATAATTTAAACATACCGATATTTTTTCCCACAACTGTCAGAATTTTCATGAATTGTCAAACTATAATTATCATGGACAACTGCGATTTCTATCAAATTTCATTTTAATTGAACACTACAGGAAAAATAAAGAGATTGTGGGAATTATAATAATTTGCAATTACAATATCCTCCTATATCATTATGAACAATCGGAGAAAAAATTATATGTTCAACTCGGCAGCAAAGTAGATTGACTGCCTTAGCTGGATTCCTAGCCCCGCTACGCTCGGCTATGAATTCAGCCTCGGCAGTCAATCTACTACTTTGCTGCCTAGTTAAACAAATAACTATTCTCCATTAATTACTCAAAAACCTTTCGTTTTTCCTGAGGGTGCATGAATCAATTGATCTTTTGAATTTCAAAGATTATTGGTCCGAAAGTTTCTTTAGGAATCAATGAATTGCTATTCATACAAAATATCAGGGTGTTTATTATGGGATATCAGTCAAAAGTTCACCTTTCTTGATGATAATCCTGGAAAATAACTGAATAACTACAGCAAGAAGGTCATACAACTATCTATATGATCACCCATCAAGAGTAGCAAAGTTCCCTACCTACGATTATAACATTGCCCGACTTCCATTATCAGATGCACCCACTAGAGGTAGCAAAGTCAGATACCTATACTACAGAAACATCGTCTAATAGCAATATATAGATGCACTCTATATCTATATCTAATAATCGCAGGTGGGTTATAATCAGCAAAGTCGACTTTATAATCACAGGTGATAACTTGCTTGTTCCCTATGCTATTAGACTTTCTTGCTGGGGTAATTCGATTTCTGACTATGGTTAATATGAATTTTCCTCAGTGTAGGACAAGAAACTAGCGTCTGCAGGAAGAACGCAAGAAATGAAGCGCGTAAAGTAGCTCACTTCCAGGGTTGGGATTGTTGTTACAGATACAGGGTGATCAGAATTCTGAATCTTGAACCACCCTGTATCTGTTTCGATTAAATATCAGTAAATAGTGAATCATAACTTGAGATAGAGACATGTGAGCCGTTTTGACCGATAATGAATAGTTTCGACACAAAAAAACTAAAGTTTGAAAATCTTCAGGGAGAATATAAAAATACGATAATATACAGGGTGTTTCATTTGGAATATCAATGTTGCTACCAGTTTCTGTCGTGTTTGATGGGTACTGGCGAAGAATTTTTTAATACGCCACTGCTTGTCTAGAGTTTGTAACTTTGCCAGAAATAAGAAAGTGACTAAGCATTACTCATTGTCCATGTATAAGTTGGATTATCTACTGAACTCATTTGTAGGTACGCATCACAGTTATCAGCTCTCAAGATAAGGAATTTGTAAACAAACTAATAATTGGCTACAATGTCTCAAGTTAAGTGTCAGAGTAGCTGTACGCATTTTTTTGTTATTTTATTCCTACCTACCTATTCGTATTAAAGCTAGTATCCTCCTGTATCGGAAATAACACCGAAAAAATTCAAGGGGCGATTCCTTAGGAAAAAAAATTTATATAAACATGTGCCCTAACTTGCTTCGTTTTCGAGATACAGGGTATTAACATTATTGACATTTAATTGGAACAGATACATGGGTGATCATAATGC